CTTTTTTTAATTCTTTTGAAATTATCAAGCGTCTCCATCTAAATCGACAGTTTTCTTGTGAAAAAAATAAAAGACCTTAAAATACTTTGAAGTCATTAATGATAATTAGCTAAATATTAAAGATATAAGAATATATTATGACATGTCCTTGAAACCCATTTACTCAATTGTATACCGGGCTTGTATCTATCAGGTTTTAATAAATTATTGTATAACTATTTGGAGAGGTATAGCGCAAAAAGAATTGTAATGTTTGGAAGTTGTACAATAGATAATTCTAAAGATTTTTACCTTTAAACCGTTTGTGTGTCCTTTAAATCTTTTATAAATTTATTGTGTGATGCTTTTTGTTACACAAATTGTCTATTTTATGTAGTTAATCAATATTATTCACAAAATAAATCCCATTGCGGTTGAAAAACTATAACGGTCGTGTCCATAGAAAGCTGTAAGCTTTAACCTGTAGCTGTAAGCCTGAAAGCTCGACCTCCTAACTTGTGACTGAGATGATTGATTAAAAGAAATGAAAACAAGAAAACGAGAAGTATAAGACTTCATTTCGTTAACTTCGTTTAAGGTGTTATTCATTGTTTGTTAGACAGATGTAATTGAGTTAAATCGGTCTTAATTCCTATCTTCAATGGTATTTTTTCCTTAAAACTTTCGTGACTGGAGATTTTAATTTTAAAGTTAAAAAAAGTAATAAATCAGATTTTTAGAATTTTTTTTGGAAAACACTCAAAGTTTTTCTCATTTTAACATTGAAGATCTAAGTAAAAAAAATAAAATATAATAAATAAAATACCAACAAAGTAATGCAGCTAGCCTTCTTGGCACCATGCCGTGTGTTCTAAATCTTGATTTATTAGATAGCACGTAGTTTATTTCGATTTAATATTAAATATTTTTTTATAAATACAGATGTACTATATATAAAATCGATGATTGCAGAGTCTACGAGTAGTAATCAGCCAACATTGCGTTGTAAAATTGAATCATGTTTCCAATAATAGCGTGTAGACCATTTTTTTATTGTATTAGAAGAAGAAGAAGAGGAAGAAACGTTTATTCACGGTCTAAGCACAATGAATAAATACAAAACTTAAAAATAATAATGTAACACAGAAAATAAATGTAAACATAACAAAAAAACCAAAGTTTTCTCGGATGCCGTGAATCTTTTCCTAGTAATTAATAAAATTTCAATTAACACAAGTCAATAATTAAAAAAAAGACAGAACCCGCGACTGTGGTTCGAAGTAATATTTTTCATAACACATTTTGGTGTCATAAATTCGTCATTTTGATTTATAATTATTTAAATATACCCAGTGAGATTTGCACGATGAAGACGAATTCAACGACATAACATTCATCAAAATCTCACCAGCCGCTTTGTAGACGATGGAATATATAATACTTATTGATTAAATATTATTTAATAGCTCCATAAATATATATATTTATATATAGAACCAAATAGAATATAGGAAAGTAGCTCCAAAAATATAATTATATAGGATCAATACATCACAAGTTCCAAGTACAGACGCCGAAGACTTTCTCATTTACTGAGTTAAAAACGACTAATGCATCGATTACAAAAGCCAAGCAAAGACTTACTCCTTATAAGTTTGTCAAAAAAATAATCCCTAATTTACGGGCATAATATATTATTTTACCAAGGAAGTTCTAATTCATTATCTCATCTACACCAATTCATTCAATATGTATCCATATTTTGTTGTTGCACCTGTATAATCTGAATTTACTGTTAAACGTGAGGTGAATTAAGCGGGGAATGTTCATGTTCTTATCAAGTGTTCGCAAAATTTTCTCCCGCTTGATTTGTGTAATGTTTCCTGAACTTAACGACCGCAGTTAGTTCTGTGAGCCATTTTCTTGTGGTTGATTATAACTGGATACCTGTATACGTTACATGACCGTTTTTTAAGAAACTTAGTTATTTGCTTGTTTATAAAGTTTGTGTTACTGTTAGTAACTTAACCATTTATTATATTAGCCACAAAAATAATGATTGAATTCGAATTTCGAATGTTTTATTAAAATAAAAATGTACACAATTTTTAATTTATTTTTTTTGCTAATGGAGTGGACAGTTAAAAAATACGTATAAATAGTCGAGGTTATCGCTTTGCATCGGTGCAGTTACAGTTCAGTTGAGAAGTCCCTATGGGGATTGGATAAGGGAAAGCTGTGGGTGCTAACTACATGGGTTAGGATAGAGTTAAGGGGGGGGGGGGGCCTCCCCCTACCTGCGAAGCGATATCTCCCTGAGCCTGAGTTTCCAGTAGGTCGCGTGGAAGTGGGCTCGGTGGGCAGGCGTGTAGCGGGGCCAAATTTTTCAAATATGGGCATGGCCACGCGGCAATCGGGGATCGATGTCAGCCACCAGATGAGCCTCCCAAATCTCTGCTATGACGTGACGTTAAACCACCGCTATCGCCGTTTTGACAGACCATCCGTTCATCGATATGCCATCCAAAACCATACAGAACCGCCTCTGAAAGGAACATGTTCATCAATGAAATTGCGAGAATATCGTTCTGCACGTCGACGATAGACTCTTCTGCGATCGTATGCATCATATAAACATATTCTAAACCCATCGGTGAATAATATGGTCCAATTTTAGTCTTCATGTGCAAATCGTAAGCGAGCTTGTATGTGAGCTGCAAATAATTTTGCACAATTTGACCTAAAAGAGATGATACTCTCTTCCTCCAGCCTTATTTTAACTGTCCGTGTACTTGCAGTTAGGACACGACTTATTACTTACACATTTTATTTAGTTCTTGTTTCCTCTTCTTTTTGTGAAAAAGACAATCTCGGTGGTCTTCATATAAGTCGGTATAAGGTTGCATATGCCGTCGTTTGAAAAGGTATCTAGACATCCTCTTGCTAAATCACCTCTTACTTTCTTACTTCTAGTGAGATCAATAGAGGCCGACTTAAATGTGTTATACGACAGCATCTAAAATCTAAAGAAGAATTATTATGTTAAGATAGCGGAATCAGATAGATAGATATACTGTTAAATATCTATCTATAGCCCATCATTATCAATATTATGTGACAGTGAAGACGAATGCAAATGAATCCATTTCCTAATCTCAGCAAAAAGGCTCTACGAATTGTTCCATTTTGTTTACACTGGAATTTAGTAGTTGTTATAGTACTGTTATTCAAACATGACGTCTTTTATTTAATTATTAACACTAATTTAAATGAGATTGATATATTTATTCGTCTTGTTTGAATTATAAATTAAGGTAACGAACGAGGGATCTTATCCTCGATAATGATTTTCATTAATTGTATTAATAATTAATATAACTATACTAACGTTCATGCCGTGAAAGGTAGATGTTATCATTATCACGTTTCAACGAAATTATTGAACACCTTTGTATTGACAGTATTTGGTAAACTTGCAACCATAGTGATCTAAGTGCGATCATTCAATATTAAATTAATTGATCAGCCTGGCATGGCTCTACTTTGCAAACCGCACCAATTGTTTAATTAGATTTTGTGATCCCTCAAATAATAAAGTATTGGTCGTGCTGCCTATTAGGAATTAGGATCAGTGTGCCATGAAAGAATTGTGATTTTTCCATGCCATTGTCTAAGAAACCCATTATAGGTAAAAATGACACTTAGATTACTCTGATCTAAGTGACATTAAGTAAGTGACTTAGATCAGGTACTAGCGTCGTCATTCAGATTTTTAGACAAGCGTTTCGTAGATACGTTTGTTTATTTGTTTTTAAAAACGGTATGTGTAATTACGTTTTAAAGGTTGACTGACCTTACTGAAAATAAGCATCTTATCTACGAAAACAATCTTATAAACGAAGGGGTAGCGTTAAATCAATGTATAAATAGAATATTAATTTAAGGATGCTGTACATATATTGAAACGAAACTTTTGTGCTATAAAGGACATAATAACAGATGCACGATTAAATTTCGTTGGTGTGGCAATCAGCCGTTGAGCTTACTGGTTAAAGCGTCTGATTGCGAATTCGATTCTCGCGGCGGCGAACAGCTTCATCCACTTATCCACAGATTTTAACATATGCTGTCTGAAAAATCATTTTATAACTGTAAATGCTTTTGCTAATCAAATTGTGACATTCGTGGATTTATAAGATATCATTACTGATTACGTATTTTCTACTTTCATATCAATAGATATATCTCTTTTGATATGGATATTAGGACATAGTATTTAACACAATTGATTCTCGGATTCGCAGACTGCAACAAGACATTACTATTTTCTCATATTATTTTAAAAACATACGGATGCTTTAAGGCGTTTGCTTCACCGACGAGCGCGCTACAAATCAGTACTTAAAACATCAAGATTTGAACTCGGGTTTCTCCAGAATACTGAAAAACCAGAGCCAGGACACTGCGCTTTGACGGCGCTCAGTTACGAATATTTATTCGAATCTAAAACAAGTAAAACTGTTATAATTTATACATTATATTTGCTATCATCATCATTTGGTAATAACGATGATAGCAAATATCTTTAGAAAAATTATAAATAAATCAGGATTTTAGGCTTACACCTTGGTAGCTGTAAACCTAAAATACTGATTTATTTATAAAGTTTTATTTAGTATGGAACTTAAAGTTTAGTTACAGTTGAACAGTCAAACGCGACCCACGTACTCGTGTACTATGTAGAGCCGATCTAAGGAAATTTAGTAAAGATACATCTCTACAACACTCTATCCATATACCTACGAGTATCTACGTTCAGTTCGGCACGGGCCCTCGTTTGAAACGAACGCTTTCTATTTCAGTTAAGTTTCGCGCGAAGTAAAGTTTAACAGTTTCGAAAAGACAAAGCAGTTTAACATTTTGTATTAAAACTTCGGTAAAGTATTTTAATACATAAATGTTTAGTGTATAGTTTTGAAATTAACTCAAGAAAACACTAATTTAAATTATATTTTAGGACAATGCTGCTCTTTTTCCTGGTAGCTAGGATGATTATGAGTAAGTAACAGTGTTTACAATAGTGCATCTGTTTGGATTATTTAGACTAGTTATAGTAATAAAACATTAGGAATCTTCAACTAGTGAAAAGTTGTGAGAAGCCGTGTTCAGAGTTAAGTTGTGAAAAGACTCAGATAATTTTCTTGTTACGTACAACTTATTGTACGATAATTTTCTTGCGGAGCGATAACTAATTTACCCTTTAATAGTTTTTAAATTTTTTATATTTAGGCATTGTGTTTTCTTTAAATAAAATACGTTATATTTATTGTATTAACTGTGATAGGGTCACACAGCAACTGTTACTGTTGCATGATAAGCAGGCTCTTCCGGGGAGGTAACACGGTCTCATAGAAGTACGACGTGAAGAGCAATTATTCTACTTTAACAATAATACAATGATTGCAATTTGTAATTAAAGCCTTTGTAATTAAATAATTTTCTGGAACAGCGTATGATATGTAATAAAATGGAATATGTATGAATCAATTGTTATAGATGTTATCAATTGAAACCGGCCAATTTTGAGTTAGACTCGCGCATGAAGTACCGTACCATTAGCTAACAGAAAAAAAAACATGTCTGTATGGGAGCACTTAAATATTTTTATTCTCTTTTTAGTATTTGTTGTTATATCGGCAACAGAAATACATCACCTGTGAAAATTTCAACTGCCTAACTATCACGGTTCATTAGATAGAGCCTGGTGACAGACGGACGGACGGACAGACAGATAGCGGAATCTTAGTAATAGCGTCCCGTTTTATCTTTTGGGTACGGAACTCTAAAAAGGAATGACGATGTGTATGTAGCTTGGCATTACCTTTTATAATGGTTTTTATTATTTGAATTTTCTAAACATGCGTGAACATTTAAAATGAAAGAAATCATAATTAAGTATTACATTATATAATACCGTAGTGCGTACAAAATTGTGGATTGACAGAATGATGTTGATGTTTTTATTGTCTCATTGTTAATCACCATATGCTACTATTTATTTTTAAGCTATTTGTAAATATTCCCTAACAAATTTTCATTAGTAACTCTTTTTTATATTTCGTGATATAAAATTTGATTTTAGGTGATTGCTTCTTAAGTAAAATACGAATACAAGAGACTTTTACAAACGTATGTGTTGACTTTAGTAACATATAGAGTATGATCTTGCCAACTAATTTTTAAGTTGAAACACTTTTTACCACACTTTTAATCTGTTTCATGATGAAATTAAAAGTGTTATTTAGATAAATAATCCGTGCGGGCACAGGAATTTCCAATCTCTATTCATTGTTTTTCTCTAAAAATACAATACATACATACATACAAAACATGGGACAATTTCATATATTGGATTCGTTTACACATATTGCTTTATTGTAAAAAAAGCAACTGTTGAGTTCCTTGCCGGTTTCTTCTCAACATAAACTGCTTTCCGAACCGGTGCATGTTAACTTACGAACGTATTAATTTTTATGTAAAACTAGCGACCCTCCTCGGTTTCGCACGGGTGAAACGTATTACACGTATGAACCTTCCTCTTGAATCACTCTATCTAGTAAAAAAACCGCATCAAGATCCGTTGTGTAGTTTTAAAGATCTAAGCATACATAGGAACAGACAGACAGCGGGACGACTTTGTTTTATACTATTTAGACTTTCATGTGACATTTTACCACAGTCACTCACTTGTTTTGCCTTCCCGGAACCCCTCCACTACACTTAAACTTTATGGTATGAAAGTTCAAACTGACTTTTCAGTATTATTACGAATCTTTTGTACGGGAATATAGAAAAGTGTTGTTTTTAGGGTATTTTTAAAATTTTTTTCTTTTGAAAATCTTCTCCTGATAATAACAAACACAACAAAAAAAAAGTGAAATCGGTCCAGCCGTTCACGCGTGATGGCGTGACCAAGGGAAATGAGGATTCATTTTTATATATATACTAGCTGCTGCCCGCGACTACGTCTGCGTAGAGGGGTGAAAATTTAGGGTTGTATGTATTTTTGTATGCTGTGTCATAAAAAAATAGAAACAAAAAGTTTTATATAAAAAATAAAAAAAAAATTAGGGTGGACTACCCCCTTAACATTTAGGGGGACGAAAAATAGATAGTAGCCGATTCTCAGACCTACTGAATACGCATATAAAATTTGGTAAAAATCAGTCGAGCCGTTTCGGAGGAGTTCAAGTTCGAACCCCGTGACACGAGAATTTTATATATTAGATAGATTTTGACGTTTCATAAGAACGCGCCAGCGTCAATGTGAATAAACGTATTTTCATTTTGATTTTTTCTATTTACGCGAATATTATACATGTTAAATGAAACAATTTTAAGGATTTTTTCGCGATTTTATTTTGATTTTTAATTCGTGACATAACGGACCCTTTCCAGCGATCATGGTCACTGGTACTGGTTCGAAACTTCGGGATTTAAAAATAAAACGAGATATTCGTAAAATAAGTTCATTTAATACGTTTACACTGCCTTTTTGTTTTATTTTAATAAAAATTTGGTGAATCGTGGGTTTAGGCCGATTAAAATCAGTAGCTCTACTAGAGAATATAAAGCTTAATAGGCCGAAATTTTAAACTTTTTTATACAGCAATTAATTTTAAACACATGGAAACGTGGAGTAATGGAACCTAAGTTTTATAAAAATTTTCTTATTTCATGTGTTTGTAGCAATCGTCAGGGAAGTTAAATCAATTACAAGACTGCTTTTTCTTCCAACATGATGTACAAATTGTAAAATTATAAGTTAAATTATCACTTTCTATTAGTAAAAAACGTCATGTGCACGAATTTATAAAACGCTATAATTGTATGTGTTGTTAGTCGTAGCGAAAATATTTTTTTTCTACTTTTATTTTTACTAATTCTTCCAAAATATCACTTTAATGGTGATACTGAAAAAAACATCCAAATGTTATACTTATTCCTATCAATCTCGTTATAGGAAGGAAAAGCCTCTTTCCTTCCTATAACGTGGTTATTTGAAGGGTTTTTTCTTTGTATATGTAAAAAGATATTTTTTCTTGATAATTTCAACGAGAATTAATCTGTCCATTTAAATTAACGCTGTTCATTTAAATATGAACAGATTGCATAAACAGTTCGAGATTTTTATCAATCATTGTGTTACTTATGGTATTTATGAACTTCATTCGATTTTATGTTTTAATACTTGTTATGTACAAACTATGGGAACTACGGAAATAAGAAAGGTATGTTAATAAAGATGAATTTATCAGGTATGAGCGTTTTTGGCCTAATGCTATTTCTTAAATTTAATTAATGATTTGGGTATACATTAACTCTATCTCCACAATGATCAAATATACAATTTGACAACGTTAGAGTACCTTTTTTGTTGTTACAAGGTAGAATTTCAATCGATGCCATCACAGTCAGAGTCATACGTTTTAAAGCTTTTAAAAATTGGCTTGTAGCTCTTTTAAAGCAGTAAGGTCAATCAAAACTTCACCGCTACATACTACGCGTACCGTATATTGACTTCTGTCTTGATTCTGGCATCGGATGAAAATCAAAGCTATACAAATCTGATATTTTCTATTTTATAAGACTCCTAAGTGTCGTAATAGACCCCGAACATTTTAGGGACACATGGGCTATCTAAGCAGCAAGATTATGTTTAAAGGCAAGAGTTTCACCTGATGTTAAGAGATCATTACCGCTCATGGACATCTAAAACAACTGATGGGTTGCCGACATTAAAAAAGTGGGTCCCGGCTACCTCACTTACCAGACGTAACGCGAAAGTATTTATTATACTTCCACTTTACGCCGGTCTTCTGTGAGGTCGTGGTGCTTACCCGGACGAGCCTGCACATTCGTGCAACAGCCAAGGCTGCTGCGTGGCCCTACCACAGTTAAATTATGATTTGTTATCTTAGGTGGCGGTGGTACTCAAATTGGTGAAACGGACAGCTGTGACCCCAACGAGCTAAAATTGTGCGTTCAAATGATTCCCCGCACTCCCATCGGACTTCCAAAAAACAAGGCCGACCTTGATGCCCACTGTCGGTGAGTACCAAAAATAATACTAGGTTTTTCTTCTTTCTCTTCGCATTGTTCGTGCGTTATTTCCATTTTATGGAATCCATTATGTCGTTCGTTAACGCTTTGAATAGTCAATTCAGTGCATTAACAAATAACACTACAATTAGATACCAATCACACAAGCTTTCTCCTTTTTACAATATGAGAGTGACAGTTAACATAGGAACCTAAAAATAATATTTGGCGCAGTGTATTTATCCTTGTACTAAGTATAAAGTTAGCTTGAATAGAAGAGTGTTACCATTGTTCCATTTCATATAAAACAGCAGCGTGTATTAATTATTTAAAAAAAAAAATCCATTGACGTACGTCTAAGTCGTTATAATACATTAAACAATTTTTACAGGGCGTATCACACAGGAATGTCGTGTATGGACGTCTGGATCAAACGCTGCTTGCCCACAGATGGACAAAAGTTTGTCCAGCAGCAAATAGGTGGTGCGCGGGCTCTGATGCGTTTCCTTTGTTCGAATGAAACTGCATTAAGGAGAGGTAAGTATATTTTGCTCATATCCTCTTAAGTTAATTTTGTCTTGGAAATCACAATAATGGGTTAATTACAGACTGCTGCAAAAGAAAATTAGTTATTTTGTATATTATACCGTTTATTGTAAATAACCGATCCCCACCCTTCACTATAATACCTAAATATTTATTCGGCAATGGTGACAACTGGTAGTGCTAACTGACTGTCATTATTTTATCTGTACAGACTTTCTAAGGGAGACTACGTGCTGGAAAATGGTGTCTCCTGAGTGGTCGCACTGTGTTGACGAACTACAAATTGCAGTCCGCGACATTGTTGAGCGTTCGCAACAGCTTGCTTACATCAACAAAAACTCGGAACTATGTTGGTAAGGTTCAATAATCTGCACACAATAATTCAAAATGCCTATTTTACATAATTTACTTAATTTCTTGGATTTGGGAGCTTATTAACTTGAGATTGTTACAATAACGTAAAATTTCACTTATTAACATCATATTAATGAGTTGCATCGTTATCGATACGCTGACATGATATGGATTCAGATATTTAATATGAGTATTTTAGGCTTGTTTCTATCTTTTGTTCCTTTTATAGATGTTTCATATTGTTTTAAATTTTTTTACATATTTTTTATACATCTTACATACTTTTTAACGTAGTGTTTCGCTTGGCTTACATAACTAAAACTTCCGAAAAACACCTCAGGAAGTGGGGAGAGACTGAAAACCAGCACTGGGAACTACTGTCCCGATCTGCACACGCTGAGTCGCCTCCTATTTTATTGTATTATGTGTACTTTAAGTTTAAGAATGCATGTTTAGTTACTATACAGTTGTACAGAAGGCAATAAAGTGATTTTTATTTATTTATTTTGTGATTATCGGGAACGTTTGTTTTTTCTGGCTCTTCCTTGGACCCTTTGAACTAACTATGCGGTCTTGTATTCACATATATACCACCAGGGATGTAGAAGTGCAAACCAAGATTCATTTCCTTATGCCATGGTATACACTTGAAAGGAATCACTTTCCTGATTTAGTTAATTAATATTGTCGACGGCTATTCAATATTGCGTACAAAATATTGCGTAATAATTTGCGCACAGATTATGTGATCCCTTATCGCTTGCTTTCTTAAAATAAATATTGTATCAAGACCGGCTTTTGATCTCTCAAACGAGTAAACGTATATTAAGATTATGAGCTACATAGAGAACATATATTGTGAAGTCTGTCGGCAATCCGTATTGGAGTCGGGTGGCGAAAATTTTCTATATCTCTCTTGCCCTGAGAATTTTCCGGGGTTATTTCTACAAAATGTATTATTTTGTTTAAAGAGTTGTACATTATTGTATAGAGACGTGATAGCTCAGTGTCCGGGCGGTCGCTTTTAATTCAAGATACTCGAAACATGAGTTCGATCCCCGGTACCAGTAACAATGAAATTGTTAATTTTAAGTGCTGACTTATCACATGCTCGGCGGTGAAGAAAAACATCGTGAGGAAACCTGCATATTTTCGAAATAATAACAAATAAAATATTTCGAAAATATGTGAAGTCTGCCAATCCACAGTGGGGTCTCGTGGTGGACTATGCCCTGATACCCTCTGTACAAGCCTTTGTCCATCAGTGGGATATTTATAGGTTTTATTACTTTTACTTTATTGTTACTTTACTTTTTTTTTAACATTATTGTATAGTTATTTACTAATAATAACTACGTAATCTGGTTAAGTGTTTTAAAAGTGTGAACGTACTATGAGAAATATCTTACAATAAATTAACGCTGAATCGATAAGCCTCAATCGAAATCGGTGTTTCAGTGCCCGCGAAGACTTCGTATCTTGCGTTGCTCACGCGGGTCGCTCTTGCTCCGACAACGCTGCCACGTTGCTCAGGCGTATGGCATGGGTGCTGGCACAGGACGTGGCTGCCTGCAGCCAGCACGCGCCTGCCTACTGCGCTGCCTCCTTGCCCTACGCAGCGCCCCTGCTCACTCTCACCGGCATCATCCTTTACCAGGCTCGTTTTTAACTGAGCCCAGTATCGAGGTGTCATGCCGAAAAATTACAGCTCAATTTATCTCAATATTATGTTTGTAATTTTGAGACAATTACAAAGTTTAATATTTTAATAATTTAATTGGTTTATGTTTGTAATATTCGTGTTGGATAAGAATAAAGCATGTAAGTAGTATTTGTAATGATTTATTTTTGAAATAGTAATTATTAAGTGGATACAATTATGTACTGTCTACTCAATGTTGTTTTATTTTCAATTCCTTTCAAATATTATACACTTAATGCCGAATTTATATAGATTTTATATTATTAAACATAATATTTTACATGGTATTTGCTAGCTTTTTTACGGCCGCCTCTCTGATGTTGCTCATTCTCAAAATTGCAAATACGAGAAATTGCCAACGGAGCTAACAGATCACCTGATTTTAAGTGATCTCCGTCACTTACGGCATCTACAATGTCCATGAGGTTGTAGATGCATTGCGGCGAAATGCAGAAGTATGAAAATTCCATTTCACACCAACCTTCTGTGAGGCCGTTGTACTACCCCAGGCGGGACTGCCAATAGGTTCACTGCTTGAAGATCGCCGAACTTAATTTGCCAGATAATACCGTAGGTGATAACTGTCTCTACAAAGAAAGAAAGAAAGAAAACATTTATTGCACAAATACGTCACATAAGGAAGTGTCCGCTAGAGAATGCCGCGATGGGCGGCATGTTATTCCAGCATTTAGAGGCAGAATATTTGAAACTTCCACGAATGGCGATGGTACGATGGTAGGTAACAACCAGAGAGTAACAGGACGGGCGAGTGATCTTTAATTGTACGTCGCGATACCACACTAACTTATGATTATGAAAATTTCTAGTGTCGCCCTACCTGCCTTCCTTGCTTTCTTAATCACAATCCGGAACATTCCTATGCCGAGGAGGCAAGGATATCTTGGCTGTGTATGTGCTCCAACAAAAATATTCTACTAGAAGAAAAGCGACAAAAACAGTGGGATGTTCCTTTGGTGCAGAGAGTACAGAAATATGCCCGTTTCCTAGGCGTCTCGTCTAAAGAATCGAGTTATTGGTTTCACGCTTTAGCATCAAGTAACTTGGGCCATTACTTGACGATGATAGCTTACGCATTACTATAGGAATGCGTCTGGGGGCACCGATTTGTCAACCACACCAATGTCCTTGTGGCATCAATGTAGACAAATCTCGTTTCCACGGGCTTTCTAGTCAAAAAAAATGCTGGCTGCTTTTCCCGCTACGGTTCCATAGGGCTATTGTTTCCATCAATGTTCCATCTATTTTAGAGCCCAGTGGCATTTTTCGCGATGATGGTAAGAGACCCGACGGTTTGATTTTAATACCTTAGGAGAGAGGCAAAGCCCTTGTTTTGTAATGCTACTTGTGCATAAACTTTGGCTGCCTCTCATCTAAGGGGTACTTCGGTCAGGGCCGGGGCGGCATCGGAGGCAGCTGAAGTAAGTAAATGGCGCAAATATAAGCCTCTATGTTTAGATTAGGTATTGGTGCCATTTGCTTTTGAAACTTTGGGTCCGTGGGGTCCCCGCACATCAAATTAATCAAATTCATTTCATCAATTTTTAAAGGTTTATGTCCTAGGCTTAACGCTGCGGCTGGTGACAAGAGGGCTAGTACTTTTATCTTTCAAAGGTTAAGCATAACTATTCAGCGAGGAAATACAGCTACCGTTCTTGGTACCATGCCGCGTGAATTAGGTGTATTAGATAATATGTATTAAATCCAAAATATCCGCTTGCATCTACCGCATTTGATTATAGTGGCTTTGTTATTTTCACAATATCACTTTCGTCAACTGTCGTTCAGTTTGAATAGATTTGACACTTTGTAGTGAGACTTAAAGAGTTTCATATATGAAATAGGAACTTCATTAGCTCCGATTATCAAAAATCCACCAAAGAAAGATATTAATGTGAATTGCATATCAAAAAATAAAAGTTGACTTTTTAACTTATTGTATTTCTCAAGTTGAATCGCACTTAAGCCGTAAAAAGACATTGAAATATAGATTGAATGGAATAGTGCACTCTTAAAGTATTTTACGGCTTCTGAATACGGAAGTAAGCGTCCTTAATCCTGCTTAAAAGGTTTTCCGTACTGATTCCTTTTACTTGCATTAAAATTTATTTATTATACGACAAAATACTATTAAAAAACAAGTTTAAGTGTCTGTTAATGAACCACCAAAAGCGAAAACTGTTATTTATAAGGTGCCTAATCTTAACTCGTTGGATTTTGTCCAGCTTAGACGATGTAAATGAAACACATAGCGTTTAAAAAATGAAGATTTTTGTATATACTACATAGTTCAAAATTTTTTTTAAATTAGATATCTACCATGTACAGACAAGTCACATTTTTAATATATGTATAGATTCTCTGATGTTTCTAAGAAAAATATATTGGAAAATGAATACTTTGAAAAACTTTTTAATAGAATCCATAATTTAAACAATGAGTTGTTCGTTAGGAAAAGAAGTTATAGTAAACAAAAGCCGAAGCAAAGAGTACTTGATTTATTTCTTTCATTCAAAATAATGTTATTCATTAGGTATATTATTATATTTAATGGTAGCTGAGGGCTGGTGACAATGCATGAACCAATACTTTATAGAAATAATTAAAAAAAGTTCTTTGTGAATTTTTATTAAAGACAAAAAATATAGTTCTAGGTCTAATTTTCCAGGAGTAATTTTTTGGTAAAGGTGTTTTCAAAATTAAGATGTTATGTTTACGAGTACGCTAACCAAAGGGTAATAAATATGATATTATAGATAGGTCGGCATTGAGAAAAATACTACAACAGACTATGAAGAAGCTTTACTACACGTTACCTTCTTACTGAGTGAATTTGCAAAGTTCATGGGCGTCAGAATAGGCACTACTTATTTGGCTGTATTATCGGTAAAGCAATCTTTTTTGCCTTTTTTCATGGTTGCTTGGATTCTGCTTACTCGTCTGTTAAGTGTAGCTATTATCTACGTCGAAGATATCGGTCGTGTCAATTTTCCGTTCAGTTGTTTTGGGTTGCCATGAGAAGGGCGCATTATACTTTGAGTAGGAGTATTTTGCTATGAAGTTCATGCTGGTTAGCCCCATTATAACGATACGTATATAACAAATTGTGGTTGCAGATTATTCCGAGGTTAATGATACATAAGATTATCCAAACAGAATACGGTGTTGGCGACGTGGATACAATTTATTATTTGAACCTTTGACCATTGTTTTACCCGAAGATCATAAATGTTTTATAAAAGTATTTGATATATGTATATTGTATGTTAACCAAGATGAATAATGGAATTTGAATAATAAAGTCTTTAGTCCTAAATAATAGCTAAACAAACGTTTGTTATAATATTACAGGCTCTGACTGAATTATACAAATGTAATCTTACAAGACTCGAACTGAGTTCGATCTTCAGTGCTGGCAACAATGGCTCTGACTGAATTATACAAATGTAATCTTTTTAAAATCCAAGACTCGAACTGTTATACTTACTTTGGTATACTTCTATACTTACTTGTATACTTGTACATATCTTGTATATCTTTTACTTTACAACATAAACAGCTTTTTAGTTTCTTGCTTTTTTAAGGTTTGTCGGAAGTTTGATCACTGTAATGTCATCAATTATGAAATATATATACGTTTGTTATGTTATAGGGTTGGATGTACGGGTGTTGCAAATGTTCATGGGCGGTGGTTATAACATAACGTAAGGTGAACTGCCAACCAGCTCTCTTGCCATCTTCTCACACAAAAAAAAAAGGATTAATATTTCAGGCTTATATCCACTCTTATATGAATGTAAAAGAAATTAAAAATGACGAGTACATTGTTACTCTTAGTATGGAGTTATTCAAATACACATCTTACTGGATTTTCCCAGGGGGATAAGATGTTTTACATACCACACACAAAAAACATAAATAATATGCGTATGGATTAGAATTTTGTTTTGAATGACTTGGATTGAATATGGATTAGTATTTAGTTACTTGTCTGGACGCCGGCAGCGTATTCGAGTTCAGGATAGATTTTCTGCATGGCTTGATACAGTAGCTGGTGTTCCGCAAGGTGGAGTGTTATGCCCACTGCTATTTGCAGTTTTCATTAATTATATTTCTTTCCAAATATCTTCTCTTTACCACTTGTACGTAAATGATCTCCAGATTTACACTCAAACCACTGTAGAGGATCTTCCAAAAGCTGTGGATAATATTAATAGGGATAATATTAATAGGGATTTGGCTTATATTCTCGATTGGAGTCAACAATATGGTTTGACTGTTAACCCTATAAAATCTCAAGCCTTAATAATTGGAAGTTTAAAATTAATTACAAAATTAAATAAGAACCAAATAGATCCCGTTATTTTTAATCTTAACTATCGGTAATCCCGGTAATCCCGGTAATCCGTTATAAGGACAGTGTTAAAATTTAGGTATACGGATGGACTCCAGTTTTTTTTCGACTCCTCAAATTAATGTAGTCGCCCGTAAAATGTTCCCAGCATGTGGTTCGCTCAGAAGGAACTACTTTTTACCAATTTCGACCAAAATTACGCTCGCTCTTTCTTTGCTGCTCCCTATCCTTGATTATACTGACTTATCCTATCTTGACATCACTGAGGAGCAACTTCATAAACTTGAGTGACTCCAAAACCTATGTATACGGTTCGTATTTGGGCTTCGTAAATATGACCATGTATCTGAATATCGCATTAAGCTCAAGTGGTTCCCGATTCGTTTCCGCCGGAATACTCATATTCTTTCTGCTCTTTACTGCGTCCTATTTAAGGTATCAAGTCTGCTTGCTTCGGATTCAACGAAGGGTCGTCAAATTTGGTGAGGGAAATAGTAACATGTGACGAAATATAGATTTATTGCGACGATCCCAAAACAAAGCAGCAATCGAGCGTATGGGTCTTCCAAGATGAGCAGAAACCAACCAAAAG